ACGCCGATCAAATGTCAGAGGCACGTTATCGTGCTATCTCATTCGTTTACCTCATTTTGCTCGACGTCGCCACCGAGGGAAAGGATGGAACCAGGCGCGCTGTCGTAAATCACGTCCGACACTCGTACGCACCGTCGCGCGACTTCAATCCGCGATCGAATCGATTCGCGTGCCACGGAAAAGAGAAAAACTCCGACGGGAATGGGAAAACGCGATTCGCGAGAGGTGCGTCCGATCTTGGAGGAATTTTGCGTAGAACTGAACCAGGTAACCAGAGATTTTCTCTCCGCAGTCGGACCGGAACCCTTCAGTGAGGCCGGCCTTGAATTTCGCAATTTGCTTATTCAAAACGAATATTGCGGGCGGTCAAGCCTTTGGGTCGTGTCCGGGCCAGTAAATCAAACCGTGAACGGATCCGTTTCTCTCTCCTCTCTTCTTCAGTTCTCTCTGTGGAAAGGGTGCTCTTCGACAGGTGAAACCTGTGTCTAATTTAAATGACTCTTGCGAAGCCGTACTCATCGTTCGCGATGGATTTCTCTCCGTGTCGGCAAATTTAATTGAAGTTCCTTGAGAAAATGACTGTTGATTGTTTTTAATAATCCTTTGATTACGCGCTGCACTCGTCCGGAGTGACATTCATATGCCTGATACAGTCATACGTCTTCATTCCTGTGAGCGATTGCGAAGTTCCTCAGCTGGCGCCTCCGAGAATTTTCACAGTTTATTCGTTATTAATCTTCCGAAATAATGCGAGGCCTTTATTGCGTATGATACGCACTCGTTTGTACCTTTCATGTAACTCCAACTTTACATTTATTCATATAACAATTTTACCATCGCCGTCTTGGTGCAACGAAGTTTTCTCGCTTGGAACGTGTTATCAGTAGCATATATTTCAGAGTAAAATCTTAATCTCGTGATAGGCTTCACGAACATTTTTTTAAATTTAACCTTTTAGCCCACTGAACCGAAGATAAGATAACTATCTTCTCGTTCTTGAGAATCTTCTTCCTTGTACCGATCGTTCAACAGAGAAATTACGGCAACGCCCCTTGAAGGCGTCTGTCAAGCGCGACATTTTTCCAAACCTTCGAAACGCGCTTAAAATAAATTCGACGGAAGTCGCCGCATTGACAAGACGGAATATCTTCCAGAAGTCGTATGGTCGCTGGCTATTGTCAGCCGTGGCCAACTGTCGTCACATCTCCAAACATGTAATTCATTCAAACGTTCCTGGTCACATGTTCCCTCGCATACAATTTTTCTCGCTCTCGATCCTGTTTCTCACCACGAAGAGAATCGCTATACCCGTAAGTCTAAGGACGAACGAGTCCGAACTGCGACCTTGCGGCTCGCTGCGTGCGCGTCGAAAGGCTTTTCAGAGCGTGGCCAAGCCTTTGACGCAAGCCCGGGTGCGGTGGCAGTAAATCAAAGCAGATCGGTGAACGTCCGAGCGGAAAACGGTACAGATAAGTGACCTCGTTGCTGTCCCGGTCGTTTAAAGTAGGTCCAGGTATGCGTCCAGATTTTGCATAACCCTGGCAACCCCTTGGAACCCTTCTCAGGCCCGTCGAAACTAGAGGCGAACTTTCGTTGTTCCCGAGCTGCGTGCTCTCGGTCGACGAAAAGAGAGCAGAGTAAGAATAAACAGCGTCGTGGCACCCTGCGGTCGCCGTAAAATCCGATCGCGACCGATTCGATCTGCTTCAGTTACGATGAATGCCGTACACCTTCGGAAGTCTGTTACAAGATCGACACGGAGGATGCCAACCGAAAAGAAGGTTTGCGGATGTGGCCAGCAATAGAATTTCACGCGAAACCCTGCACTCTTCTTCGGTTGCACGTTTCCTCCGACGATCCTTCGACAATTACTGAACCCGGTGTCCACGAGCTTCTGGTTCGTTTGTCATAAACCAAACAGTGAAGTCGATAGGAATTTTTTTTATTGAGGCAATTAACGAAGATTCTGTAATAAAGGATTCGAGGATCCTTTCAAGGCCGCGCGGATGTTCCTGTATTTGCGGAAGCTATTCGCTTCGCATAGATAACAAGCAGTATAATAAGGCAAGAAATTACAGAGTCGAGAGGCGCATAATTAATAACATCCTCAGGGGCCATTTTCGCGTGATGCGTCGCTTGCAATCTCACGTCTCCCGAAACGAGTTCTCAACGAATTTTTAATACGATCCAACAAGTTCCTCTTCCATACCTAATAAAACTTCGATGCCTACATAATATCCATTACTGTTCTTAATTATTCGAGAATTTCCTTACGTTCTATTAATTTCAAATGAATAATCGATAGCGAACATGGCAATGAGAGAACGGCGATAATAACGAAAACGGATGAGAAAAGGAAGCGTCCAATTGATGTCGGACGGGCGTCGAAATCCTCGTTCGGTGCTGGCGGAAAAATTGCGTGCCGCGCTCTCAGGCGGGAAAAATTGCGTGTTTCTCGGGTAGACAGATAATTTTCGCGCCGTTACCAGCGACGCGTTCGGCTTAATTCGTGAAGACACGCGAAACCGCGCGCGCGGCAGACCGACGCATAATTCCCGTGGCTCGCTGAATATATGCACATTTTTATCGAGCTTACAGCAGATTCGACTCGAAAATTTTGGCCACGTCGAAACGCCGTGGAATTAATTTGAATATTATCTTATCTGTGTGTGTGTGTGCGAGTGATTTTGTAAATTCAATTTCGTAGATTCCATATCTCATAAAAATTGCGTCTAGGATCGCTCGGCAATCGGAAACGGTTGATAAGGCGAAATGAAACAATTTGTACGAGTTAGCCGTGTGATGAATGAAGGTGAGAATCGTTGGAGAGCGATGGAAGGTGGGAGGTTTCACAGCGCCTCTAATAATGATAAATGAATAAGTAGCCAAATCGGCCTCCCACAAAGGGCTCATTGATACGATTTGATTGATGATTCCACCATAGTCTTTGTGTTTCGGTACCCGATGCTGATGGTAACCGCAACCACCGTGGTACGCCTTCCTTGTTGTGAAACACAACACGTTATTGTGACGCCCGCATCCATTACCGAAACTGCCCTCGTCACGAAACTGTCGATAATTTATGAAAAAAGTATTATCAATCAATCGAAGATGCTTGTTTTGATGGTTCACCTCAAACAGATCGATTATCAATTGCCAACACCGATCGCGACGGATAACGACTCTTATCGAGCTTTATAATCTAATATAATCGGAATAACCGGTCGGTCGCGGTTCGTTAAGTTCTCAGGCCGTTACGTTCGCGTCGATGAAGCTTCTGTTCGGCCATCTTGATACGCTTCACCTGTCGCGAGGTAGTCGGCCGTTCTCCGGCTTCGGTGTAATTCGTCTCGAAGAGAAATGAACCGAAGCGGCCGTTAAAAGCGGCAGAGTACCCCCGCCTAATTAATTTGTCCGGTGAAATAAATTTTCCCGGTTCAGCGAATCGGTAATTAGCGTCAATTTCGCGAAGAGTAACGCGACGGCGCGTTGATTTTTCTCGGGACTGCAAACAAGACGGAACCGTGTACATAAATTAGCGGATTCGGTGTCCGAAAATTAACGCAGACTTATAGCCGATCGAAATTGTTTAATCGCGGGTCTGGATCGAACTGAATATATCCCGTCGCGAGATTTTTGCGTCGGGCTTGTTTGCCCGACGGATTATATTTCGTTTGTTCACCCGTTCGCGTGGATCCTGTCGCGATGAATATATCGTTTTTATCAAGTAAACAATTGCGTTCGTCCCGGTCCGAAGGCACACCAGAGGCACTCGACGCACGCAGGAATTTTCACGCGCCCCACCCGATAACAAATGTACTCCATAAATAAATTTTCGCGCGCGGTATTAACAGGTTATGGTTGACGCTCGGTTATTCCGCCGCTCCCGCGATTATGAATCAACGGTATGATTATTTTATTCTACTTTCTGTTTGCCCTCGCGTTCATGCGTTCCGCATTGCGGATAATTCAATCGAGTCTCGAACCGTATTAATTTTGCGTTAAACTTTTTGTCGATGATAAAACGGGACAATCGATCCTCTGGATTTAAGGATGTATTGGCTATACAGTCAATCCCAAAAGTTTATGCACTTTAGAAACGCATTTTTTAAAAAGAAATCAGACGTCGGAAGAACATTGCTAATAATAAACGATGAAAAAAAATTTTCGATTTTTCCGACATTTTTCCAAGGGGTACCCCTTCAATTTCTTTCAAATTTTCGTTTTTGGCCAATAACTCCCAAACCGTTGGACATACGGAAAAATTGCATACAATCTTTCTTGTAGAGGACGACGAGATCTACAATTTCCGTATAAAAATTCTTCGCTAGCGTCAATAGTTTACGAGTAATTTGCAAAAAACTGTTTTTTCGTTTTTCGTCAATAACTCGTTAAATATTAATGCTAGTAAAGAATTTTTATACAGAAATTGTAGGTCTCGTCGTCCCCTACAAAATGGCCTTATATATGCC